TCCTCCCATTGGAAATCCTATCTCAGCCCAGTGAGGGAGCAGATAATCCAGTCATGRATCTGACCTCCTAATGCCCCAAATGCTCTTGTTCTGTATTTTCTGCCAGGCTTCCCACTGACCGTATTCATCCAACTTCATCCAGCTGAGAGACCTATGGCACGGGAGACATCAACAATGTTGTGTAAATATTTATCTTATACAATCAGTTTTCAACCTAAGGTTTTATGAGGTTTCTGGTTTACTTCTGAGAAATCCAGAGTAACTATGACTAATGTTCCCTGTCAGTTGGCTTAAATCTCTCAGCTGGGAAATGCTTAGGGGACCTGMAACTCCAGGAAGGTTGAAAACCAAGGCAGTGGATAGACAGATAATGTCAGTCAGTCAGATACTGTTAGTATCTGACAGAAGAAATATCAATACTTGGAATGACTGATGGAKAATGAAAGAAGTATCATCCACAGTCAAAAAGAAAATAAAAAGATCTGAAAGCCGCGTGTTGCATCCATTCAATTTGTGACTTTTTATTTTTCCGTTTTTTAAGCTGATTCAATTTTGCTCCTCAGTATAATCCCGTGATCCAGGAATCCTTTAAACTAAACAAATGTAGAGTCACCTTTATGGCAGCAGCATTAAGTGCATCATGCAGGTCACAGTGGCCACCTAAGCTGAGCTCCTCTGATCAGTCACTGAGGGGAATGAAGACTGAGAGGAAGAAAATAGAGGATGAAGAAGGAAAGATGTTCCAAACTGGGACACAGAAGGAAACAATGGGCAATTTAATCATTTTTCATAAAAAGAAAAGCCCTTTTTTTTTGCATGTTCATCTTCTTGTGTTTGAGATTCTAAAGTACTCTAAGCCACTTGAAATGAGAGATAATGTAATGCTTTTGGCTGGRATCTGGACATTTGAGTCCTGCCAGGTTATGAATAAACATACCTTGATTTACATATTCATTAAATATATTCTTACTAGGTTGCAGCCATTTCAGCTSTCTCTCAGATTGTGGTCAAAATGCCAGCAAGGTCATACTAAGAAATACAGAATTCACGAGAGTGTTTCCCGATGACAGAAATGCATCAGTTTAGGATAAAAGAATAAAAGAAAGGAGAAAGCAACGCTTGGGTCCTACTGTGAATACAGGTGGCGAAGGTTTGAAGGAACTTTTGTGGATGTATGATATCATTAATAGGCATGACATTGATGGATACCTCTTGTTGCTGCCACTGGAACAATGTGACCTAGATTAGCTCATGAAATAGAAATTCAGATTACGGTGAAGACAGTGAGTGCCTGTTGCCTCAAGGAAACTTGAAGAGTGTTATGGTGAAGAAGGAAAAAAATAAAAGCATGCAAAAATTACACAACTTTTGTTTAAAATGCACATGTTCCAGGCATCCTTGAGAACAGCAAATCTACCTAAACCATGGCTGGATTTGGGACATATCTAAATATCTGCTGCACAAAGYTGAACACTTCATTTCTACCCAAGGTCGTATTTCCAAAGGTATTAAAAGTACAAAGAAACACCTTGTGACTTTCTCCGAGGCGCTGCATCTCTCCTCATGTGGCAYGAAGCGTTATGATACCTCTGAAAATATTCAACTACGAGCCTATTTGTATCTTCAGCTGCCAAGGCAGGATTACAGGGGGACACATGCATACATGTAGGCCACATCCATACTAGCACAGTATCTGGAGCTTAAGCTCACAYTTGAGCTAACCTTCAGTATTAACAACAACACCAAGAACACCTCCTTACTGGGTGCTGTCTGGCTCAAGGTTGGAGCGAACAAACTGGTCTGCTGAGCAAAGACACTCGGGTATCACGAGAGATAAAAAAGCAGGAGCTTATTATTGGCAGCACGGCTGCAGGCAGATCTTGCCGTGCAGCACRACAAACTCAAGCACACACAGGCGCGTTTAACAAGAACAATATAAACAGTGCCAGCACCAGTTATGTTGGGAATAAGTGATGCAACTTTTTGTTGCTACTTTTCTTTCACACCTTCAAGCGTTTTGACCGAGCTGCACCACAGAAATGTGAGAAACGTGTCAGCTGTTGGAGGGATGCAGGAATACTGCTATTCTGAGCAGGAGAGAATAAAATCAGTCACGGAGCCGATATGTAGATCACTGAAGAGTTTACTTATTGTCATCAGGTATGGTTGCCAGAACTTGATGTCTTTGATGGCACATCAGCAACACAGAGACATGAAGCCATCTAAGAATCAGAATTATTTGTCACACTTTGAAAGACTGATACCTGACAGCTGGTTTAACGGGTTATCAGGCATCACGAAAACACTCTCATAAATGAACAAATTCAATTCATCCATCAGAACCTACAAGTGATCCCATCCTAATTTTGGAGGCCCTGGGATTATCAGGAACACCTGARGTCTCTGCCCTTGTAGCAAAAGTGATTTTTCCCAGTCACTCTTCAAAGCTGTCCATCATAGTGTCACCCTCCAAAGTTCATGTCAAGAGACAGAATTTCTAATTTCTCAGCACACACCTCTAAGAAGACTCTGAAGTCAACAGAACCACAGGCATGAGGAAATAGAGGAGTGCAGAGAGAAAATCAAACCTAACTGTACTGTGATTAAATTACCAAACACAATGGTAATGTGTTACTACAGCGGCACATAAATCAGTCATTCATTAGTATGCCATTCACCGCAGGGCACTTTTAACTAGTGACCCCTGTAGAAGCAAATGCCCTTTCAGCACCTGTCCTGATGTGACTCCCAGAGGTTCACAGCGATGCAGGGGCTGAGGCACCATTTAGTACCTACTGCTACTGAGAAATAGCAAAAGACTTTGCAAAACAGCAAAGGACTTTAAAGAAGCTGTAAAAGATAAAACTCTTTGCAAGCAGCCGTAACAGAGCAACAAGGTYGTGTCAGCACCGCTTTATCCTCATTGGCTTATCTTTTGTTTTGGAAGAATAAAGTGCTGATGATAATCTCTGGCTTTGGGTGCAGATAGTTTAGAGACACTGCAGTCTACAGAAGGTGCTCTGTCTTCTTTGCTGGTGGTGTGCCCAGTGACATTCAGGATAGCTGTGATGGGGTAAAGACCCCAGAATTCGACCTCAGATCAACTGCCCTGCAAAGACCCCACTGTAAATGACTGCACTGGATGAGAGCAAAGGTCTGTCTAGTGCTGTATCCTCTCCCTTGCCACAGCCCAAATCAAAAGGTAGGCTGGGCTCTGCCTGCTCTCATAGCCTTCCTAAAGCAGAGTTAGATTCAAGTAGCTCTGCACTGCACTTGTACATCAACAAACAGATTCTGGAAAGTAACAGGGGACACCTAGTAAAAGCTGGGGGCTTTTCAGTGCTAACCCTATACACCAATGACACCCATTGAGATCAACGAACCATGTTGTTTATTTGGTATTTTGATAAATTATAGCCCTGAGGTGCAGCAAGGGCCAGATTTTTAAAGCTATTGGGCTGTTTAAGTCTCATTGATTTCAGCATAATTGATTTCAGTGGGAGTTAGGTGCCTATATTCCTTCACACTTTGGGCCAGTTTCTTCTGTGTAACTGTACCAATTAAGCAGGAGAGCTATTTATCAGGAGCCCCATTACATTGAATCAGTGGTGCCCAATTACATCTAAATAAGCAGTTCAGCTATTCTGATGGCTGAATGGGCTGCACGCTGATGCCTTTACAGTGGCACCACAAATGACACACAGAACCCCTTCTATTGTCTCCCATTTACAGAAACACTTATCTAGGAAAAACATCCCGTTTCCTCAATCCAAGCCACCATTTTTTAGCCTCTCACCAGGTCATTCTGACATTGTGCAGGCTGACGGTGTAATGGATACGAGCAAGGGAAGCAGGCTGAGTCCAAGTCTAAATAAGTGGGGCTTACATAATTAGAGAGTGAGAGAAAGGGAAACTGGAATCAAAGACAAAGGCTTTTCAAGGTTTCCAAGGCAGCAAGTGGCTGCTCCTTATACAGCAGGCACCACAATTATGTTTCCGATTCTACAGCATCGGTTTCCTCTATGATSATAAGGGGGAAAAAAAAGAAAAACTCTTTTGAAATGTGCCTTTGAAATAATAGTGAGAAGATGTGGGACATTTTGCTCCACATGAGTAGTTGTAGCGATATCTTCATTTATTTGATATCATCTTCTGACATTCCATTTTATTTGCAGGCAAGTCATTTGTAACGTTATGTACAGAGGATTCTGGTGTCGTGATCTTTAACTTTTGCCAGGCATCTAATACTGAAGATCATTCAGCCATGATGAAACTGGCTGGAGRAAATTACTCTCCTGCAAGACATGGAGGCCAAAGACGGTATGAAAGATGTGGGGCTGCTTTGTCATTTATTGCTCCATATTCCGTATGTTTGGCTGATGGGTGTAGGGAAAGGTTCCTTTATTAATATACTAGTTCATATGAATCACAGGCAGCTGAAAGAAAAACTCCCAGCCCTGCAGGCACTGCCATGACTGAACTGAACACCCTTTAAGGAAACCTTGGGATGCTGCTGCAAAGAGACATGAGGGGGATAGGTCTGGAGCGTTCATCCCTCCCCAGCACAATGCTTTGGGCATCAGTCTTCCAAGAAAGGAGAGAAAAAGTAGAAAAAGAAAATGCATCTCCTATAAAGCCGTCAGAATGACACAAAAAGGTAGAGCGGGTGAAGAAGCCGACTGTAGCAACTATAGGAATATTTCCCTAGACAGATGGATCTAGCTATATAGGTCAAATTTTTGCTTTCTGCCAGCCTTTTTTCTCACTCCTAGGATGACACCAGCTGCACTGTGATGAACTGCTAGTCCTTCGTTCTTGAAAGGAAATTTTTCCCAGGTGCCAAATCCAATCAGGACTATGTAGGTAATTTCCCAATTAGCTCAGGCCTCCTTCCAGGGCTGGCTGCAAACGAGAACAGCAAAACACCCACCTGCCACCTCCCGTATAAATTAAGGACAGGCAGCTACTGGCCTCTCCTAAGCAGGCAYATCAGGAATATTAGGTTACAAGGCAACTCATGTGTGTGAATTCCTGTTTGTGCTGCAGAATTGCACCTTTGAAGGGGATGCAGAAGGAAGGCCTGGGCACTGCACTGCAGCAGCTATGTGCCAAAGCAGTGTGAGATGAAGGTTGCTTTAGCTGACCTCTCTGCCTTGGTGAGTGAATGAATTCCTCCATTAAGTGATGTTAAGAGGGTTTTTTTTTGTTGGTGGTGGTGGGGTTTTTTTTTTTGAGGAAATATTTCTTCTCTATAAATCCCTGTAAGGTATGCTCTGAGCACTACTTGTCATTACTCTAAAGCAAGTTGTTTATATATTTTTTTCTTAATTAGAGGCAACTTTCTCATTATATGCAAGGACTGCATATTAATTCCTCATCTGGCTTTTGTGCCAAGTGTGTGTGGCACTTAGCCTCATCGTTTCAGCTGAATTAATGATTGTTTCTGAGGTACCTTCCTATTTGGCTATAAATTGGCCCCAAAAAGCTGTGCCTTCAGTGCTTTCAGCTTCCTCCCTTGAGGGAGTTTTGCACAACTGTGCCAGGCAGGTCAAAAAMCAATTTAGGTGGGCCTTCTAACACTGCATGATCATTTATTATCAGAATAAAAGCCTTGTTCTTCACAGGGGTAAGAACAAGCACAACCACTACATGGYTTCCCTCAGAAGGTGTCCAGACATGCACCTTTGAAAAGTAGCGTTGGTTGCTTCTGCTAAGGGAAAAATAAAATAACTATTTTTTTTGCTTTCCTGCACCTTCATTCCTGAATCTCTTCCTCTCCCTTTCCCTGCTCTCATAAAATTGTCACTCCAATGTTGAGCCAGACTRACTGCCCCCCTGCAGTTTTTATTTTAAATGTGCTGGTCCTGACAGGTGTGCAAAGGAGGACATGGGACACRAGGAGTAATTAATTAATCCAAGCTCATTACTTGTAGGATCCTGCACTTCAGACAAGCATCAGTGTAACTTTGTCTTGCCATGGAGGGATAAATAACGGTGCTGCTTGGCCAAAAGCTTAGTGAGTAGGGGAACAGGCTCCAAACATTCACACCCCAAGGTGARAGCTGGGCTGTTTCTTTTGTGATTAGCTAATGTTCTCACACATGAGGCTGTAAAAACTGCTAAGTGGAATGCAAGGGCTCGTGGGCTTGTGCTGTGAATAACACGTAAGGACACTTCCTTGCAGTGAGAACAGGGCAAAAGACACAAAGTTAGAGCTAGAAAATGCATTAAAGTTATAGCAGAAGCCAAGGAGGATAGGCAAGAGCTGGCTCACCAGGGGTGCACTGCTGAAGTAGTAGGTAGGGGTAGTAAAAGGGGAGGAAAAAAACTCACAGTTTTGAATACTGCCTTTTCTAGCTGAAGCGGGAAGTGGCTTAAACAGAGGGTTTGATTCCTATTGTTRGAACAGGAGTAGAGTGAGGCTCTGAGTGTGTTTTCTGTTGAGTCCTTTTATTGAGACCACAGGAATCTTGCAGTTGTCTGTCTTCAGGTATTTAAAAATGTATGGTCTCCTACAGCTGTAAGACCTCGTGCCTATCATCCTTCCTTAATTGACTATCCCTAGTACCACAGCAATTGTTTCTACCCTGTTTCCTTTCAGATAACATTTTCTTAAGCCATAAATACCTCTACTCAGTTATTCTTGAGATCAGACTCCTATAATATTTAATGAGCACTTGGCCCAAAACAGGAATGATCTCAGGACCAGGGGATCTCTGAGGAGGACTTCAGCCCAGGTTAGCACTTTTATTTTTACTACTAAGTGCGACTAGTCTCTAGTGTGGAGAAGTGAGGGTCCTAGCCAAGAGTTTTAATACTTTCCAAAGGCTTTTTGCAGTTGATGCAGCCTGGCTAATAAGCTTATAGCATGTGCACAAGCTTTTAAGTGTCTGCTCCAAGTGCGCCATTCTAGCCCTTTGAGTTTGGCCTTACATGTACTATTTTTGGCTCGTGCTAATGACTGACATGATGTCCTGCTGACTGTGTTATTTCACATCCTGGAAACACTGTGGGCTCTGACTTACAGGCCTCGCAGTTTGGAAAACACACATTTTTCTCTAAATCATCAGAGTTGGAGTGTGTCCTAGAGGAGTCACCTGGCAATGAGAGAGTGGGGAAAAATGAGGGAGATACTGCAAAGCTTTAGTACACCCTAAACGAAAGGGTGGCATATTTGATCAGTTGGAATCCTGAATATTGGTGTAGAAGAGTATTTATAGATATGGGCTGCTCTAGCCCTGCTTAAAAATGCTGGCAGAAGTTAGAGGGGGAATTCAGATTACTGTGTCGGATGGAAGTGGCTGGTCTGCGCTGCACTGCTCCAGAAATCTTAGTGGTTTCAAGTAGTTTGAGGTAGAGTACATATCATGCATGATGCCATGTGTTCAGTCCCTTGTCAGGAGGCCAATTGCCAAGATTTGTGTACTGTGAGTATAAGTTTGAATAAAATATTATTGGAAAGAGAGCTTGTGCAGACTTATCTTAGCTCATGGCATGTGGAAGTTTTTCCACACTACAACATGGTAGTTGTTTCATAACTGGGCACTATGTCAGTATTTAATTTCTAACCTTTGGCTGTGCATCCTTTCACAAAAAGGGAAGCTTTTCTTGAACCTTGCTAGCTTCAAATTAATGCTTCAAATATAAATATATATTGCATGTATTTCATCTATAATTCAAACTTCTGTGTAGATAAATCCAGCCTAGAGGATACAATGCCTGCAGCAATGGGCTATGGATTGCACCCTGATATTTATCACTAAGTAGTTCCCATTTCCTCTGACACATGCAACAATAAAGTGCTCAGAGTACTGGAAGGACAGCTGAGTTTGACACAGGTCTCATTGATTCAGTGGATAATAATCCTTCCTCTGGCAATGTGAATAGCCTTGGCAGTGCCCAAAATGTCTCTGTGGCTGCTGAGGAGGTGCCAGCTGCTGACATGGTGGAGACTGAATTGAGCCTGGGGATGGGGGAGGGAGGATCCTTTCTCTTTCTGGCTGCAAAACAACAAGGGGCAAAAAGGCAGGAATATCTGCCCAATTACATGGGTTTCCCCTGAGATGACCCCGGGGATGTATTTATTCTAATTTCATTGAACTTGGCAATTGTTTGCTGTCAGTCAGCCAGCTTGTTTCTTGCTGAGCTTCTAAAGGCTCATGAGATCGTTCTTTCAGTGTCTACACGTCTCTCTTAACCTCACCACAAGCTATTACATCWGTGGGTCAAGTTCTGCCAGGTTTGGCAGAGTCTTGAAAGCCACAAAGGCAACATGTACTTACAGATTTCTGGGAGTGAAGTCCTGCTATCACCATTGGTGAAGGAAAGGCTGAATCATGATCTTGATCCTGATTGAACCATTGGATGAAGCACTTGTAGCTGGTGCATTCATGATGCTCCCACTCAGGGCCTGCTCAAAAATGAGACTTCCTGGAGCACTGTACAGGCACACCACTGTGAGAAACCAGGCTTCTTTGGTTGCTTTGCTTGTGAAATAACTTGATTTTATTGAATACACAAATGACTTTAGCTCCTGTTCCCCTTTCCACTCAAGTCACTGGTGAAGCTGGGTTTAGGGATGTGCAGGCAGAGCAAGACAGGTTCCCTCTGCTGCTGCTGTGATAGCTTCTTCAGAAGAGGACTTTCAAATGAGGTCTGGCTATTTAATGTATCAATGAATGCTGACTTTGGCCTTACACTTGAAGAAAAACCTACAAACAATTCTGTAAACCCAGAGGAGAGTCCTTCCATGCTTATGTTTGTAGATACTCTCAAAATGATTAACCAACCTAGCAGTAATGGCTCAGTATACTTGCAGAATGCTGCTTGAGTTAATATCCAGATACCTTTCTGTATGGGAAAGGTATTTTATAGTTGGCTGAAAACTGRGTTGGTTAATCATAAAAACTGGAGTCATTTGAGTGAGAGGCACCTCAGAGATGAGCCTCTGAAAAGAGGAGAAAAGGCTGCTACAGTACCTAAAGGTTACAGATCCTGCACCATCATCTGGAAGAAAATGATGCCTCATTTGAGTTGAGGAAGGCTTTTGTATTTTTTAGTGTGCAAATATGTAACCATTATTGTATTGATATTGTATAAAGTGAGTTTTAAATTTGACAAAAAGCATGCTATTCCTAGGAGGGGAAAAAGGCATGTTTAGATGTATAAACTAGAGTTACAAGACTGACCAATAATCAAGAGAAATGTGTTTAATCACATTTTCTTAATGGTCCTGTTTTGCAAGATACTATGGGGAGTAAGGAACAGTGTGCCATGTCTTTAAATACCAGACACAGTTCTTGCACTGACAGTATGAGATGATGATCTATATCTGTAATTATAACCAGTTTGGATCTTCCACACTTGATTTGGCTTCCTGCTGGTGAGAGTATTGTGCCAACATCTTTCCCTTTCAGGCTTTTACACTGAAGCTAAAAGAACTTTCCAGCAAGTCAGCCCTCTCTGACATAAGCTTAGCACTAGCTAATGTTTGCAAAACACCGAAAAGATGTAAAACACCCAAGAAATGCTGCTTGTTCTAAATGATTATCAGAACAGGTGGGTAATACATATGCAGCATGTCTGTAGTGACTGGCACAGGGCAAAGGGAGGAGGAAAGGTCTGCAAGGGTTGCATGAGAAGGAGAGCAGTAGTGAAGGTCTTGCAAATAGCAGTGAAAAGCTCAAGGGCAGCATGGTTAAGCATGTGGGACTGGAGTTTTGCCCCCAGCCTCCACTCCAGATTGGAGTGCATTTATTGCAGCTACAAGACTAACACTTTCCTTGTGCTAACTTGGGCTTGTTGGAATGTATCTTTTCCCCTTCTCCTTCTGAAGTTTCTGCTGAGGTCATGTCTGCCCTCCAGATCTATATCATATGATATAGATGCCACAGTTGAGTTTGCTGATGGTGGGATTTCTTCCCTCATGCCATGTCCTTACTTTTACTTGTGATAGTCTATCATACTACCTACTCATCCAGTTGGGAATTYAGCATATTACTGAACTTCACTCTGAGAGCAAAGATTCAAAAAGGAGGCAAAAAAATCTCTTATTCRGAAAACACTAACTAGATAAAATCTCAATGAACCTCTTGGTCATTCCTGAAAGCTAAATAGTCTGTACTGAAGTTTTCCTTTTCCAGCTTAACTCTAAAGA